GCATTAGCACCGTTCGTAAGTATTGTAATCATGTCCAGAATCATGCGCCTTCCAACCACCTAACCCACACACATTACATCTTTTATGGCTGTAATTTGCAACGGGCAACCTTCATGTCATCAATCACAACTGGAGGTTAACATATACAGTTTTTTTCGAAGGCAGTGATTGAATAGATTGGCATGATCGGATTATTCACTTGTACAGAATGAACACCGGAGGGCAATAGAACTATTGTGTAACGTCATCGCAGATCGATTGGCCCTGCAGCTCTCTGGATTTAATAAGTAATAATTACATGCGTAGTGTACGATTTGTCTTCGCTGTGAAACAGGTTGGCAGTCTAAGTATAAGTTATTAATGTTCGGGAGTCAGAGCTCCCCGAGATTGTGCCTGAACATTATTCCATCACGTTGAATGATCGCCTGTTGGATGTTTAATCTTTGACAATTTCTTTTTTCACACAGATTTAACAGAAAAATGCTTAATCAATTCCTGTTTCAGCAAGAGCCATTTTAGATTGTTCTCAGTTACCACGGCCATCTTGGTACAAGTGTATCTGCGGTATTTATGGGGCGCGGTGGGCGAGCAAGCTTGAGGTGCCACTTGTGACCGGGTGTAAAAACCTTGTCAACGTTGTGTGCAGACTCTTTCAGTGTTGTCACAGCCCCTAGTGTACAGTACACAAGCCTGTGCACGTAAAAGAACCCACGAATCCCTTCGTATATGACTAGATGGTGGCCACATGAATACGGGCAAAACAACCGGTTTCGTGTACAGCAACGTACTGTGACTATGTGTCCCAGTCCACCCTGCTGTGAATGGGTACCTCGTAAGGATGGGAAAGCCACATTAACTCGTAGCGCGCAGTGGCCGCAAGAGTTGTATGAACCCCAGGGAGTTGAGATTGATAATACAGTGTGCCCTTTGAGACTGAAATCCAATGATCGAGGGAATCATTCACAATATAATCAATATTGCTAAATGCGGCGTAAAACTAAATTCACTCACTCAATCATTTACAAATCACCATCATATAGCTGGCATATTGCTGTGCGCGGCGTTACATAACAAAGAAAGTAATGCTCAGTAGAAACTGTTATTATTTAACAATATATGCTGTTATTATTTAACATATATATGCCTGACATTGTGTCTGACATTAAAGTATACCATCCCACACAAGCATAGATAAACATACAGCTGTGAAGTGGCCTTCAGCACAACCATCGATGAGTAAGAGAGTGAATTAGGATTTTTAGTCACTTCGCCAGTATGTCAGCCAGGGAGTTATACATTAATGACTACTCAATCTGGATGTACATCTTAACTTACACAAATATTGCCCCATATGGTTTACAAAACAGAAAGATATTTAATCAACGTAAACCGTCAAAACTGTTAATTTGTTTTTTCTGGTAACGTTCGTCTTAAAAGGGCAAAATAGAAACAGGGACAATAAAAAATTAATCAACTACAGTATCACAGATATAGATGTAAAACAAGCATATAAATACTAGGGCATTCTAACGGTGATAGAGCGCAATGTATTTCTTAAATACAACATATAACAGGTAATAGAACGCCAACAACTGACTGTACATCACCATACTAAGGACCTTTGGGACTTACGGTACTTTGGCTTTCTACGTGAACCCAAGATGGATTTCCACTATCACCTCAGCCGTTAGCGATTGTACAATTGATCTATTTACAAAACATATATATCAAAATGTTTGAAATAATTCAATTTCTTTATTTTAAAATCAATAATTAAATAAGTACTGACCCTATCAAAAATGTCCCTGACTGTTTTGTAAACACGACTTTCTGAACGTTGCACGTGGCTAGGGAGCAGTCATTGCATCACAGCGTAAGATGTCATGTTATTGCAGTGGCGTAGTTTCATGATAAGATGGTATTTGATTTCATACCACGTTTTTGCCATGGCATTGGATGAAGGATGCATATCGATCCCATCTAAAGTTTAATTTCTAACTAGAATAAATACTAACTAAATATCAAGTAACACTATCACAATCATTATTGGTCCTTTCTCCAGTTACTATATGTATCCTCAATCTACTCTATGGAACTGGAATCGTGAGTCACTTGAAAAAATGACGTGACGCCAGTGTAATCCCACATTCCGTGCCGTCGGACGCAAATAACCTTTATGTTGAACAGACGGTCGGCAGTCGTCCGCTCTGTATCGCCAAGCAATCAGCCTGTGATTTACTGTTGGATAAATAACTAATAAATGTTCCCAATCTATCTGGCTACGATTGCACGGCATCACCGAGCCTGGCCTAGGAATATCTTCGATCTACAGCATAGACCGGTTGGGGAACTATTCCAGCCAGGAGTCTCAAAAGCGGTTTCAGTTTAACGGGGGGAGAGGGAGAGAGGTTTTACTCCGGCTTCAGTTATATTCAAGCAATATCGCTGAAATGGGTTTCAAACATGAATAGGGCGGTGGGGTAGCCTAGTGGTTAAAGCGTTGGCTCGTCACGCCGAAGACCCGGGTTCGATTCTTCACATGGATATAATGTGTGAAGCCCATTTCTGGTGTCCCCCGCCGTGATATTGCTGGAATATTGCTAAAAGCGGCGTAAAACTAAACTCAGTCAGTCAGTCAGTCAGTCTGAATATGGAAAATCCAAACCAGACCATCTACGTCCCCCCATGAAGGTTTTAGATACTAGGCTCGCCCAGTATTATGATACGCAGGTACTAAGTGATTAAATATACAGTATATGTCATTTATCTGTGAAATAGAAAAAAACACTGGAATGATATAAGTCTGCATGTCTAACTCACTTTCAATCAGCATTAACCTGAGTTTGAGTATAATCATGAATACTAAGAACACCGTACAATATATTATGAGGCAGCATTTGTCTTTTAAGAAACATGCGCTGTTATATATATTAATGAAATACACAATGCCATTTTAGAAAGTGGTCAGATGTTACTTATGTTATATTTGGGATTACACTTTCTTAGTAAAGTACAAATTCTAGTACTTTTGGGGTTGATTCGAACCCACACCCTCACACCTAATCGTCAGCACACCTAAGTCAGACGCCTAGACCGCTCAGCCACCCAAGTATATATATATTATATATGTTAATGTTCATCTCGTGACATAGGAATGGTGACGTTTTCAGTGGCTGATATGTTGAGTTTGTCATGAGTTTGCAGATGAGTGTTGACTGAAGTGTGTTGAAGTCCTTGACTCAAGTACATGTATGATGCCAGTATAAAATACGCCACTATCGACTTCCTTGTATCATTTTAGCTATTTTCAAACATGGATGTATTCTTTCTTTTGATGGGCAGTTTTATGTTCTTTGACTTGGCTGAAACAGCGTTGGCTCGTCACGCCGAAGACCCAGGTTCGATTCCCTACATGGGCACACTGTGTGAAGCTCATTTCCGGTGTCCCCCGCCGTGATATTGCTGGAATATTGCTAACAGCGGCGTAAAACCATACTCACTCACTCACTCACTGAAACAGCAATGAAAATGTGATGGCTGTGAACTCGTGCCAATATGCCAACTGGTATAGTTACAATCTGAAAGTGATTAAAAAGCACATTCGTACCTTAACATAGTCGGGATATTAAAATGGACAGTGCCACTTACAATGTTTCTTGGCTCGATACAAGGTCATGGTATTATTGACACATCTAGCAACATCAAACAAAGAACCAAATATGGCTGAGAGAGACGATCTTTCATCGATTACACCTTGAGTTCTTCTCTTTCCTATGTACAAGTGTTTTGTCCTACACCTCACAGAGGTCGTACGTGGTAGTGTTGGGAATTGGTTAAAATCTCATAATCATGAGTTCATTACAACCGATCACTCATCGAAAATAATTGGTTAGCGTCATTTATGAAATGTGTTAATGCACAAAAATTTGGAAAAAACCCATGTAGTTCTTTGGTGTTTTTGGGGCAAAATGTCACATCTTGAAAGGATGACTAGTATGGAGGAACATTAATTTCTTGGAGTCTTTAAGATGAAATCAATCATGACTTGAAACGAGCTTGTAGTGCTTATGAAATGTAACAGACAAAACCAACCTAGTGAAAAATAGTGTTAATGAAAACAAGTGTACTAGAATTGTTTGTGTTCGATTATGAGAAAACATGATCGATTGCTTGGTCGTTTAGTCACTGCGACCAATCTTCGATTATTTCAATTATTCGGACCACCACTAATACGTAGTAGAATATTTAGATAACTATGCAAATCAAAATGAAGTTCTAAACGGAAAGCTTGCATTAGGCCCGTATCTTCAGAATTCGCGCGTTGGTTTTAAATGAAGATAAAAGCACAGTTTTCAATATGCAAGTGTGCTTGTTGTACGTGTAGCGGGTGTGTGTGTAAGAAAGCTGTTACACTGAAAACCATCGAGGATCTAATGAACATACATAGCCATGAATTCTGTATCATACAGTTTAGCTCAGGAACTATTTAGCATTTTAAGCAATTCCCACTGTCACAATACAGTATATTTCATGTATCGTAGATGATGTTGTTTGAAGACGATGTCGTATATGACGTTCAATGAATAGTTAACCCATCCTTTCTTTTTAAGGGCCAATGATGCTCCCATGCACATTCCTTGTGGGTATCAGTTTGGCAACTCATAATTTCCGACAGTCAGGGTACTGCATTGATACTACATACATACGTTTGAGGTTCTACTTTAAAACAACATTTGATTCTAATACCTAGCCACAAGATTCTATCGGGGTTTTTTAAAGCCACTCCTCCACATGACAAGGTTTAGCCAAAATAACCAGTTTATTTTATGTGTGGCTCTAACCTTTTAACATTGTTCTTTATGTGCACAAGCTGGAATTCACAGTAAATGATTGTCGTCGCGAAAGCCTGAACATTTCTTGCCAATGCAATATTTATTCATTAATTTCATTGTTCGACTTTTCAGCGACAAATATATTCACTGACCGTTCTTCTTTCTCAGGTGTTCCGATTTTTCATGGTGGGCAAGATAGACGACAAGTGCGTGGCCTTCAACGACTACCTCACCGTGTACACATCCCTGCATGTCTACCTCTACCAGTTCACGCTCATCTTCATCCTCCCAGTCGTCATAGTGCTTACGTGCAACATCCTTGTGCTTTATCGGATATATCGTGTGAAGAAACTCCGACGTCCAGAAGACTACGCTCTCCCGAGGTCAAGACGAAACGTTGCTAAAACGCACAAAACGACGTTAATGCTGGTCACGATATCGTTTGTTTACGTTGTGACCTTGTTTCCATCCGTCATCGTCTCGGTTATCGTCCACGTTGCCATAGCAACCAGATATAGAGGAATGCGGCAATTATTTCATAGACTCTACCCATTCATGGACATCTTCGAGTTATGCTCAGACATCAATTATTGCTCAAATTTCTTCATATATATTTTGTCAGGGAAGGTTTTCAGATTTGAACTGAGGCGAATATTTGCTTGGGAGAAAAGCACTGCAGTGACAACGACGAAGGTCAAGGACGATTTTGCTCTGGTTTGAAATTCCAATATGGCTACATGTTAACTGTTTTGGTGTGTCCCGAATCTGTGGAATACAAAGGACCGTATTCTTGCCTTCCAGTTCGGATTTGTCGATATTGGAAATGATGTTTCATATCACAGTCATTGTCAAATTTCGTGAAAATTAACAGTTTATATTGACGAGCTTTCTCATGTTTTCATTATTTGAGGTTTGGGCTCTGTGCAAGGGTCTGAAACTCATCTACTTCAATACTGACCATATAATATCCTGGAAGAGAACTTTCCTTTATTGCTTCAGGATAAAAATGTGTTTTCTTAATAACATTTTATATTTCCTTCTAGCATATCAAGCAAACATTATATTTTTCTAAGTTACGAGAAACAAAAACCATTCGAGGAACAGCATGTGATGGTAGTGAGTTTACGCCGCTTTGAGCAATACTCCAGGGACATTACGGGCTGGGGACACCAGAAATAGGTTTTACACATTCTACGCTTGTGTTGAGTTTGAACCCGGGTATTTGGCGTGACGAACGACCGCTTTAACCACTCGCAAACCACCACCACCACCACCCACCACCACACACACCCACACACAGACACACGCACACCGCCAACATGAGATTCAACCTTGCGAATCAGCGATCAGATACTTACTACTGTATGTTCAGTGTTCGTTGAAAAGCACGGATGTGCTGTGTACCACTTAAATAGTTTTGTGTTGGATTTGTCTCTGAAGATAAGGTATTTTACCAATTGCATAGCGTGAGTGAGTGAGTGAGTTAAGGTTTCTAGTCACTTTGGCAGTATTTCAGCAATAAACGGACCAAAGCAAGTATAACATTCATGACGCATACATAGAGAATATAAAACAGAACAACGTTGACGATACAGATCCAGGTGAAAAACCTGTATGCAGATCAAAAACCATAGACAATTCAACATAAAACAAGCCTCAGATCAACAACTGAAGGTAGATCACCATACTAAAGACCATAAGGTCCTACGGTACGTTTGCTTAATGCATAGGTGAGGTTAAATTGGGTTTAACGCCGTGCTTGATAATATTTCGCTCATTTGACGACGTGCATGCGTGTGTATGTGTATGTGCGGCTGCTTGTACTAGCCCCGACTTAAGCTGGTTTTATAGTGCTAGCCCACTGAGATACCATGCCGCAGTGAAGCATGAATACCCCTCTCAGACACATTATACTGACTCTGAGCCGACCAGTCCTTGTTGTACCCATTAATGCCTTGCTTAATGCATAGACCCAAGCCGGATTTACACCACCACTGCAGCCGTTGGCGATCTCTCTCATTGACCATGTCAATCATATCCAGTGGTTTGTATCTTAAACAATGATCAACGTCAATCGTAATGTATCGAGGTCACTATGGTCAAAGTCAAACGTGAATATACAATCAGAGGGGCGGTTGGGAAACCTAATGGCTAAAGCATTCGCTAGTCCCGTGGAGGACCCGAGGTCGATTTCCAACATGACTGCAATGGGAGAAACCCATTTCGGGTGTGCCGCAGCCGTGATATTGGTGGAATATTGCTACAAGCGGCGTAAAACAATACTAAGTCACGTCACAGATTTACAGAAATGATGTGTCATACCAATTGGACATTGTATTCAGTTAAAAAAAACCACACATTTGCAACAACAGATACATCCTAACTTTAGGCGATGAAATATCGGAACAGACACGGTGCCCTAAGAAAGCAACTTCGACAATAAAACGGCAAATATTATGTGTCACAGGCAAGCATGAAGGAAAAGATACTTCTTTAAAATCTGCGATACGTCACTCAGACACCAAGCTTGTTTTATCCTGTGTTTTTATGCTTAAGACCAGTGAAGTGTACGTATTGGTATGACACAAAATAGCTTTCACTCTATTGGTTTGATACAACTGGGATCGAACCCCGGCCTTTCTCTCAGCAACACCACTCAGTTGACCACACCAAAGTGGCGGTTCAATTTGCTAGGTGACCATGTTGATTTTTTAATAAGACCTGTCAAACATATTTCTGTCTTGTTAAAAATATTATTTTCAAATAGTCCAAAGAGTCCAAGGACGTACCTGTTGGTCATTTCAGTAAAAACATTTAATTAAATTTATATTTTAAAATAATCAGTTAGGAAACACATGTGACACGTATAGATCTATATGTAGAGATTTATCCAAGGCTGATGGAGCAGTTTCGAGTGACAATGTCATTGGATCCAGAACAATATCTTCCAGATTACAAAACAACAGCTCCATGTTTATAGCCAATACACAATATATTCAGATTCTCTTTCTTGCCTTCTGCCAATTATCAATATGTCATATAAACATCCACTTTTAGTCGAAATACTTGAATTACAAAATTATCTTGCTACTGGCCAGTATGGCACCGTCTTTTGTTGGTTGTCCAGCCATGTTGGAATCACCCTTCACTCCTAAGGGCGCACTGAACAAATCTCTTACACCACTTCTGATACCCTACAGTGACTACAAACCTGTTATTAGAACTGGCATCCGGGATCTGATGCAGAAGAAATGGGACACCCAAGTAGGAATCAATAAATTACATGCAATGAAAGCAACTATCGGTTATTCTCCTACTTGGGTTGACAGTCCATCTTTGAAGAGGTCATTTTTAGACAATGCCGTATTGACTATAGCAGATGTGCTCATGAATATCTATTAACAGGAGAGGATCCTCCATTTTGTATCCCCTGTTATGAGAGAAACACGGTCAAGCACGTCCTGCCTGGCTGTATGGATTTTACCATCTCTAGGGATAACTATTTCAAAGTTTCATCAGTGAAGAATCTTTGTTCGTTTTTAATTCTTGTTTTTATAAAAGAAAGTGAGTTATTACACAAATGTATGATATGTTTTGTATATAATAACATATTTTATATAAGTTAGAGAAACATTTGATAGCCAAAATTTCTAAATTAGTCTAAAGTTTATACAAAACACAGTGTGATAATTAAAAACACAGTCAGTGTATTAGAGACAGTGTACCAAAAGAAAATCATAAACGGAAAAATGAACCAACTAATGCATCTTTCCTCGAAGGGAAAGTAAAAATCCAAATCGAAACGGATGTTCATAACCAACATGCCTTGTTGGAGCAAACAGATTTGAACTAATGACATAGGCAACAGCTAATAACCGTTATGTAAGACCTTTCTGAGATGAATCCCCATCCGGGAACTTGAGGTTCTGATTAGAATGGAACTATTTGCGTCGGCATCAGGGACGGATTAACAACAAATAGCGAATGCCACCCACAAATACAGACTTCATAAAAATATCATCCCAGGCATGGAACACGCAGATTGATTGCCCAAAGCTAGATCAAAAGAGGTCGATTTGTCTTGACCCATAAAGATTTGCCCACCACCACAGATGTAATGATGAGGGTCTCGACAGTTTCCGCTGACATTATCTGTGCTGCAAATCAAGCAGAATATAGCACCTCTTTAAGTCGGACTATAACGTGTGATATTTAAACGCTGTCCATTTGATAGCCGTACAATAAGATGAAATGTTGGATATGGTGGCTGTCTTGACAAAACAACAGTCGTGACTCAATCTCCCCAACATACACCTAGTCAACGTAGACTCAGAAAAGAGTGAGTGAGTGAGTGAGTTAATATTTAACGTCACATCAATATTTCACACTTGACGTCAACGTAGAAAAAACATATGTATAATAATTACAATCATAAATTAAACAATAATATATAAAAGAAAGGACAATAGAATGAGTTATAGAGGTTATCATTTATTTGTTAAGGTCAGCAGGATGAACTGATAATAATCACAATGCCCCAAAAATGTGGTGCATGTGGTCACAGAATTTATCAATAAAAGGCGTAAAGTCACACAAAATTAAATCTGATGTGTCAAACGTTCGGTATCGTGTATGGCCACCTCATGGAATGTCCCATGCGTGTAAACTGAGGAGTCAGCGCCATTGTTCCTCCAAAGCAGCACCAAGAGCCTGCAAATTATGGGGCTTGTTCCTGAGAGTGCGCAGATGTTGACCAAGTGCATCCCAGATGTACTCGATTGGATTCAGACCAGATGACCTTGACGGCCAAGTCAGGAACGTTGATCCCTGCGTTCTGCAGGTAATTCCTGGTCAAGATGGCTGTATAGGGCCTGGCATTGTCATGTTGAAGGTGCAGACCTGGACCATGCGTAGCCATGAATGGAATAGGTTCAGGGGCTAGCGCCTGGTAGAGGTAAATTGCAGCATTAAGGTTCCACGGATAACCAGAAGTCGGGAACCGTCAATCCCACAGAAAACACCCCAAACCCCAAAACTTGCGACCCAGGTCTGCCACCTTCCTGTACAAAAGTGTCAGTATAACGCTCACGGCGCCGCCTCCACAGTCTCATCCTAGCATCAGCGAATCTGAGGGTAAGTCTTGATTCATCACAGAAGACATCCCATTCCAGTCTCTCAGAGTTACTTTGCACTTTGATGGGAATATATGTGATCGAATGCACGTGCACTGATAAGATCATGTAAACCAGTGGCACATGAAAAACACGTCTTAGCACTATTGGGGGGTGCACGATGTTTGGATTGACTTAAATATGCTGTTGTGATGTTTTTCCTGAGTCGATACCTGGAGATGAATATTATGATAATCGAAAACTGTCTACTATAACAATTCGTATTGTAAATTTACAAATATGATCTGTAAAGGTTTTATTTTGACTCAGTATAGTTACAACCCATCAATCATTGTATTCTCATATACCCACGGTTGGTGGTACAAGAGCGAATACAATTGAAACAGATACACAATAATACATAGTATATAAAAATACCGAATATAAAATAAGATGGCTGTAACTAGTCTAACATTTTATGTTTCTTATAAGGGATAATACTTTGGATACAAATTTTGTTAAATTGATAATTTCTTTAGTGTCATTAGTTGGAAATAATGTAACAAAATTTTGCAGACATGGATACAAATATTACCATTAACAAATATCCATGGCAATGCAGTATACTATTTACAATATATACCTGACATTTACGAGAAAGTTAAACCCATCGGCCACGTACAATAGTATAATATTTTGGCAGTAAGGAGCGCATTGATGCAGATATCCGAAGATTTTAGTGGCATCCTTGAAGAGCCATTTCCTCGT